GCCAGGACTGGGGCAGTAGTGGTAGGAGTGGGTACAAAAGATTTTCCTTTTAAACTACTTTCAACAGTTCGCAGAAGGCATTGAAGCTTGCTAAGAGTGACTTCCTCCTTGTTCATATGATAAGTCATACGGAACTGATCATAACAAGAAGGTAAAGAGTGTAGGATAATGTCAATAGTCAACTCTTCATCGAAGTTGACATTCAATTTCAGCAAGCGGTCCACAAACCTTTGCATTTTTTGTAAGTGGGCCGTGATGGACTCTCCATCCTTCATTTTTGTTGTTATCATGGAGGAAATGATTTTATACCTTTCCTGTCGAGCATGTTGATGGTACCTTTCCATCAAGTCTTGGTGAATCTCGAAAGGATAGTAGTCCTCATAGGACTTTTGGAGTTCTACTGTCATAGTGGCAAGCATGACGCACGACACCTTTGTTGCATCTTTCTCATGAGCCCTATATTCAGCAATTTTCTTCAGGAGTAGCAGTCGCTTCATCAACCTCCTTTAGATAGTTATCGAGGACATATTCCTTATCCTCGTAAAGAGTGACCATCCGTATGTTTCAAATCTAGTCATTGAAATTCGACCCATCGAAAATCACCCTCCCACATAAGTTCATGAGAGAGAAAGAGCCGGAAGGGTTGGAGCCAGCAGCGTTTGGGGTAAACGTCTGAAAAGAAAGACAAAGTTTAGATTAGATAAGAATCCTTAATATAAAACCCAAGTGAAATATTAAGGCTAGGACCCAACACAATATTTCACAATTCGGAAGAGGGATGCCGTAATCCAATTGCAAAATATTTGAAGGTAGGTAAATGACGATTTACCAATTTCCACCATGAAAAACGAAATTGAGGATTAAGTTTTAAATGAATTGAAATTCCTAGATTCTTTTGAGATTCATTGAACTTTTCAATGGCATGTTTAAATCTCGATTATGCCCTTCAAGTTTGTGACTGGGATACCGATGATTAAAAATAAGGTGTGAATAACCATGCAAATGTGATTGGTACTCTCGATGTCATTTATCACCTAATCAATGTGCCGGTTAACCACATACGCTCCACTGATCTATGATAAACATCAAACTACCCTTTGCTACCCTTGCTAGTCTAAATTAGTGTGTCGGTTAACCACACACGCTCCACTAACGACTTGGCAAGGTGCAAAGTGCAATTTCATGGAATAGCACCAATTTCACATTTTTCCTAAAGTAACTAAGATTGGGAATTTATAAAAGTTTAGTTACTTTATAATATCATTATACTTATTAATGAGAATTAATGTCCTATCCTACCCATTCGGCTAACGACCCTCCACCAGTCAAGGAAGTGGTGGGTGAGAGTGGACACCCATTCAATCACCATTTTATAGGCAATTTCCTTATACCCCCCTTATAGACCAGCTTCGTGAGTGAGGCCTACTAATGGTAAGACTAACTTTTTAATCCCATAACACTTCATGGACTCCATATAAACTTAGTCCATTACTAATAAATCATGGATCATTAGCCCAAACAATATGTATCATTGATTTACATAATCAGCCCTTATTAATTTAATCAGTCTCTTTTGATCATTAAATCAATTCCAGATTAATTCTTGATCAAATACCAATTAAATAATATGATTTCTCAATTTAATATATTATACTTATAATATATTAATAAATCACAAATAATCTCTTTCTCAAATATCCTTCCTATCAAATTGCTTCGGTGAATGCAACCCAAAATGGATCATGCTACTGTCGGGTCAAGTACATACCAATTATAGTTATGGGCTTAGACACCTAATCCAATAGTCATTTTTGTAAAACTTTAGTAGGAAAATTTTCTTTCAAGTTTTTGTGTTCCAAGGTTCTTAGAATAATTAGGGGAGTCTAGAAATAATTTTTATGAGGAGCAAAAGAGAGCGGATGTGAAAATTAAAATTATAATAGTATAAGGGTTGAATTTTAAACCTTTTAAAATCCTAGGGTTTAGGATTTAATGTTTCATAAATGAGCCTTTTTCAATTTCCAAAACTTGAGGGCAAGTTTTGAAACTCTTCAAAACCTCTTGAATTTTAGAATTGAATATTTCATAAATGAGACTTTTCAAATTCCACAACTTGAGGGCAAGTTATGAAACTGTTCAAACCCTTTTGAGCTCCAAAACTTGATGGCGAGTTTCGTAAATCTTAAAGACCTTTTGAATTCCAAAACTTGATGGCAAGTTTTGTAACCCTTCAAAGCCATTTAGATCAAATTTTAAACAAGTAAAATAACCACATATTTTATCTCTTACTAATTTGACCTAATTCAACTCACATAGCAAGACAATTCAAATCAAATAATACAAGTAATCAACTTATTATCTTAAAATTTGATAATTGTCTTTTAATTGGATGAGGATAATCATCACCATATCAAAAAAACAAATTTTATGATACAAACAGTTTATGGCAATGTTCCTAATCCAATTCTGGCCAAGAAACCCGAAAATCCGACATCTGATGATCCAACTCGTCGAGCCAGGCTATGGACTCGTCGAGTTCATCACCATATGATCCAACTCGTCGAGTTCCCTTATGGGACTCGACGGGTCCAGCAGTCAGTAGCCAAAAATCGCATTTTTTCAGCTTTGAAAAACAAACAGTTGCATCAATATAACAGAAAACACCCTATGGTGCAGATACAACCCTAATGCTTTGGATCTAAGTTTTCTCTAATTATACATGCAATTTCATTTTTCCAAAGCATGAAGCCTAACTAGCATACAACTTTTATAATTGAAACATAAAACAAGTTGGATGATTACCTCTTTGTTGTAGCTTGTAGAACTTGGCCTTACAAGAGCTTAGAACCTCAAATGTGATGCCTCGATTAAGTCACAAAACACCAAAAACAATTGGAGGACAATGAGAGAGACCTTGGAGACACCAAAAGTCAGCTATACTCTTCTTAGAATTACTTGTGTTATCCGATTTTTAGGGCTTAGGGGTTACATATATAGTGTAGAATTCCAAGGGTCACTTGTAAACCCTAATTCATACACTTAGGCTTTTTAATCCAATAACACTTCATGGACTCCATATAAACTTAGTCCATTACTAATAAATCATGGATCATTAGCCCAAACAATATGTATCATTGATTTACATAATCAGCCCTTATTAATTTAATCAGTCTCTTTTGATCATTAAATTAATTCCAGATTAATTCTTGATCAATACCAATTAAATAATATGATTTCTCAATTTAATATATTATACTTATAATATATTAATAAATCACAAATAATCTCTTTCTCAAATATCCTTCCTATCAAATTGCTTCGGCGAATGCAACCCAAAATGGACCATGCTACTGTCGGGTCAAGTACATACCAATTATAGTTATGGGCTTAGACACCTAATCCAATAGTCATTTTTGTAAAATTTTCGTAGGAAAATTTTCTTTCAAGTTTTTGTGTTCCAAGGTTCTTAGAATAATTAGGGGAGTCTAGAAATAATTTTTATGAGGAGCAAAAGAGAGCGGATGTGAAAATTAAAAAAAAAATCAAGTGTTTCACAGTTTATTACACGAGTCGTGTAATACATGCCTTACCATTACACGTTTGTGTAACACTGATTTAGATCAGGAAAACTTCAAACACGGCCACGTTCTGATACCCTTACCATTACATGCGCCGTGTAACGCTACCTGGTAAAAACATTATCCTTATCACTTAAATGAACATATACAGCTCTCTTTTTCTCATTTTTTTCGTCAACTCCCACTGTTTTCTCTCTTTGCTCTCGTCGAAACATACACAACACACTCATAACTTTGATTTTTCCATGGATTTAAGCAAACAAGGTATGGTATTTCATCCTTCTTCTTCTTCCCTAAAATCAAGAAGCTTTAAAACATCATTTTAATGGTGATTTTTGATATTTATCAAAACCCCTAGAAAATGGGGTCCGGAAATTTTGGCTTAATTTCTTTGTAGGATAAGCTTTGGGAGGCATTGTGAAAGAGATTACAACTTCTTTCAAGGAGTAATTTCGACTTTCAAGCTCCAAATCGATTATTCTCTTTCCAATTTCTTGACTTTGTATTGTTAATCATAAAAGCTTGAATCTTTGAGCTTCAATTGTGAATTTGAGTGTTAATTGTGTTTTATTTCCTTGAATTCGTTGTTCATTGTTCTTAATAGTAAAACTTTGTGTATATCTCATGGCTTCATCATCTCGTGGGGGTGGTAAAAAGGGGCATTCCAAGCGTTCTAGAGTCGTTGACTCTAGTGTTAGTCAATGTGGCCAAAATCCTCCATGCCAAAATTCTGGTGATTTGGCATTCTTAGATTCTCAACAAGAAGCTAGGTTTTATAATTTCCTTGAACGTAGGCGTGTAGCATAGAAATTCACAGACATGCCCACTCTCCATTCCCTCCATATGCATGACCAATTCTATGTTTTTTTTACAAATATTAGGTAGGAAGGGTTGTTGTCATTGCATGATGGTGGTTATCTCAAACCTACTCTCTCATTTTGTGCTTTCAGCTGTAACTATCAGTTGCAAAAAAATCAGTTTTATGAACTCATTTGTGCTCTAATTTCCAATACTTACAATCCATTTCACATAGTAAATTATCCATTTCAAGAGGATTCTAAAGATTTTTGGGCAAGAATTTCAGGATTGAACTATTTTTCAAGAACGCCCAAGGCATCAAGTATCATTCACCCTATTCTTAAGGCCACCCATCGCATCCTTGCTTCTGTTGTCTTTCCACAAAATGAGATAAGCAAGGTTGTCCAAAAAGAATTAGAGCTTACATGGTGTATGATCCACAACCTAAATCGACTTCCCGATTTTGGATTATGGATCATCTTAAAATTGTTGAAGTTATCCCGCAGCACTAGTGGTATATTACTTTGCGGGGGCATGATCACAGTTATCCTCAAACACCCATCTCTTGCCATTAGTTTTACACCTAGTCTCGATGTTCATCTAACAACAAACATCTAACAAAATATGCATTTGTTCCGCATAGATGATATATCACAAAATGTTTATTCGGTTGTTGATAGACGTGATTACCTCCGTATTGATCATCAAAATACATGGCTTCTTGGTTTGTCTAATCCCGTACACAAAACTATTTGGCGCCTTAGGTCCAATTTAGGTGTCCCGATGCCCGAGCCTGGTTCTAATTCTGATAAGGATGATCACATTCCTAATGCTTCCATTCCTGATTTTGTTGCGCCAGTGAAGCAAGATCCTGTCATGCATCCCTATCATGACATGTACATGCAAAAGTTTCAAAGGTTGTATGAGGATAATAGGCATTTGCATCGTGACTATTCTAAACTTTATGACAGTGCTTGTGAGATAAATACTGAGATGGTGTAGTTTAGAGAAGAGTTCTATACCTTTAAAGAGAATCAACAAGCACACAACCATCACATGGATACCCTTCTGACTGACATGAATATGGTGCTCTATTTGGGTGGTCAACCCACACGAATACCTTATTTCCCTCAATATCCACACAACCCTGCACCAGACAATCCACAACAATATCCTCTGCAATATCCACCCCATTTCCGCCTCAAGATCCTTCTTGTAACGACCCAATTTTCAAAAGAAAATTTTCATTTTTAAATAGTCAAAACCATTTTCCATAAACCATAAAATCTCCAATACATTTGTTCTCAAATTCACAAAAATAACAATATTATTCCAATCATCAGAATGTCCCATAAAAACGCCTGAGAGAGAGTGCATGTCGCATCGTCAAGCCTTGCCCTTGCCCTTCGGCTCATATGTACCTAAAACAAATCCACAAACTGTAAGCTAATGCTTAGTGAGTTCCCCAAAGCATACCCCACACAATCCACATAATCACATAAACATATTAGCTATAAAAGCTACATAAACCACATAAGCCATTCATACAAACATATAGGGAAGCCATGGAAACCCTCCAGGGTCTTACACCTAGTGCCACTGGAACCCCCACATGGTCTTAACTTCCAGCCATGCGAACCCCCACATGGTCTTCACTAAATTCCATGGCAACCAACACATGGTCTTCACTACCAAGCAAATATCATACAAACTAAACATGCAAATATACTAGGATGCCACAGAAGCCCTCCAAGGTCTTACACCAAATGCCATGGAAACCCCCCACGTGGTCTCAATCTACTACCACGGGAAACCCCGGGGTCTTCCATGCAAATGTCATACTAACATAACGCATAATCAATCGACAATCCACATATCATAAAATAGGCCGGCCTTGGTGCCTTAGACCCATTGGTATGGTGAAAAGACTTACCTCTCGTGAATCTAAACTGACAAGATAAGATCTGATAAGTCCAATGCACAGCTCCAAATCAACTGTCTATAAGCATCATGTGATTAACTTGTCACAATCCCGAAATACCATAAATACCCTCAAAATCAACTCTGGTCAACCCTAGTCATAGTCAAGGTCAACAGTCCATGTTGACCTCAACTCGTCGAGTGCATCCAGCAACTAGTCGAGTTCCTTCAGAGTCCATACAACCGAAATCCCGAGTCAACTCATCGAGTCACCTAAGTAACTCGTCGAGTTCCTTCATTGTCCAGAAGACCAAAAACTCATGCAGACCAAAAACTCTAATCCTTCACTGAACTCACTCAGAATCTCGAAAACGGGTAAACCCTACCCGACTCGTCGAGTCCCTTCAGAACTTTTTGTGTTTGGTCCTTTACAGTGGGATCCAAGGTACCAAACTTTAGATCCAAATCCTTCTAGCGTACTTACCATGTACAGTTGAAAACTTTACGTGCATGCAAGGCCTCACAAGGCTAAAACACTAAAACTATGGTTTCTACAAGGCTTTAGTGCCTGGAAAGGGCCTAAGGTGGAATCTCGAAAACGGGTAAACCCTACCCGACTCGTCGAGTTGGCTCAGCAACTCGTCGAGTCCCTTCAGAACTTTTTGTGTTTGGTCCTTTACAGTGGGATCCAAGGTACCAAACTTTAGATCTAAATCCTTCTAGCGTAGTTACCATGTAAAGTTGCAAACTTTACGTACATGCAAGGCCTCACAAGGCTAAAACACTAAAACTATGGTTTCTACAAGGCTTTAGTGCCTGGAAAGGGCCTAAGGTGGATAAAGTAATCAACTTTATGTCATTGAAGACCTAGAGGTGTCCAGATCTGGAACCATATCCGTGTGATAAGTCCAAATCCAAGAATGACACCCTTTTGGCACCAAAAGTGACCATTTACTCTCAAGAGATGAGATCTAAGAACCTAAAGGTCTAGATAGTGACTTTATACCTCAAGATGGTCGCCAATACAGAGTAGATGTCAGATCTAATGCTTCTTTCTTTGCTCCTTCTTCTTCAAGCTCTAAAACCCTTCACAACCACACCAAAATCAATCTCAAAAGCTTTCTCTCTCACTCAAGAAGGTGCAAGGCTCGAACTAGGGTTTCTTTGGGTTGTAAGAATGATGGAAGAGGCTGAAAATGAGCCATAAGTTCTCTAAATAGGGTACAAACCCCAAAAAATTAGGGTTTCCCTTTACAGTGCCTACTCGTTGATTCAGGGCCTTCCGACTCATCGAGTAGATCCAGAGTCCCGCATCCTCATAAATGACCTCTACTCGACAATTTGGAGCTCCCCAACTCATCGAGTCCTAGCACAAAACCCTAAAATTTAGAAAATTAAATAATACCTGGAACCGGTGTTACAAATCTCCCCCACTTGAACTAGACTTTGTCCTCGAAGTCTGCTGACGTAAATAACTCGGTATAGTGATCTCTCATCTCCTCTTCCGGCTCCCATGTCCATTCGGAGCCCCTTTGGTGCTGCCATTGCACCTTTACTAACTTCACATCCTTGTTCCGAAGGGCCTTGGTCTTCCTATCCAAAATTGCAGCGGGCCTATCAATGTAGTTCAGGCTCTCGTTCACCTGAATGTCATCCAGTGAAACAATCACGGCCTCGTCTGTGACACACTTCCAAAGCTGAGACACATGGAAGGTGTTGTGTATCTAGTTGAGCTCGTCCGGCAGATCCAAGCGGTAAGCCACCTTGCCCACTCGGGCTGAAATCCTAAACGGGCCAATATGTCGCCGCCCCAACTTACCTCTCTTCCAAAACCTTATGACTCTCTTCCATGGCGACACTTTTAGTAACACAAAGTCCTCCACCTGGAACTCAAGATCCAACCGCCGCCGGTCAGCATATCTTTTCTGATGGCTCTGTGCGACTCACAGCCGGTCGCGCACCTGCTCAATCAATCTGGTAGTCTTGAGCACTACCTCGGTGCTCCCCATGACTCGGCATCCAACCTCACCCCAACAAACCGGGGTCCTACATCTATGACCATACAACATCTCAAACGGAGGTCGGTCGATACTGGCATGGTAACTATTGTTATATGAAAACTCTTCTAGTGGGAGGTATGAATCCCAACTCCCTCCAAAATCCAACACGCATGCACGGAGCATATCTTCAAGTGTCTGGATCGTCCTCTCACTCTGGCCATCTGTCTGGGGGTGGTACGTCGTGCTGAAATGCAACTGAGTGCCCAGTTCCTCGTGGAACTTCTTCCAGAATCTAGATGTAAATCGAACATCTCTGTCAGAGACTACCGACACTGGAACCCCGTGTCTAGCCACCACCTCTCGCACATAAATATCTGCCAATTTCTCAGCGGATATACTCTTAGAGATTGGAATAAAGTGGGCACTCTTCATCAACCTGTCCACAATCACCCATATGGCATCCACACCTCTCGTTGTCCTTGGTAACTTTGTGATGAAGTCCATAATGATCTCTTCCCACTTCCACATAGGAATGGGTAACAGTTGAACCTTGTTGTGAGGCTGCTGATGTTCGGCCTTGACCTTCCTGCAAGTCAAGCACCGCTCCACGAACCAAGCGATCTCCCACTTCATCCAGGGCCACCAATAGCTCAATATCAAGTCTCAATATATCTTTGTAGCCCCCGAATGTATAGAGAATTTCGACTTGTGTGCCTCCTCCAATATCTTCTGTCTCATATCCCCAGTTACCGATACCCATACCCAGCCACACTGTGTCAGAAGACCTCGGCTATCCCGAAAAAACAAGGGATACTGACCCCCAATCCGCTATATCTTCCCATTCTTTTTCTTCACACCCTCGACCTGAGCTTGTTTGATCATATCTAACATCGGAGAGATTACCGTCATCCTCAAGCAAACGTTTCTAATCGGGGAAACTGCCGTCTTTCGGCTCAAAGCATCAGCCACCATGTTGGCCTTCCCTAGATGGTATAAGATCTCACAGAAATAATCTTTCAGCACATCCCACCACCTCCTCTGTCGCATGTTGAGGTTCTGCTGGTCCATCAAATACTTCAAAATCTTATGATCAGTATAAATAGTGCACCGTACTCCATAGAAGTAGTGCCTCCAAATCTTGAGGGCAAACACCACTGCCCCCAATTCCAGGTTGTGAGTGGGGTAATTCGCCTCATGAGGCTTCAACTGCCTCGAAGCATAAGCAATCACATGCCCCCTCTGCATCAGTACCGCCCCTAACTCTGATATCGATGCATCACAATACACCACCAAATCATCCAGCCCCTCCGGTAGCACTAGAATCGGTGCCTCACATAACTTCTACCTGAGGGTCTCGAAAGCCAACTATTGGTCTGGGCCCCATCGAAATATCACATTCTTTTTGGTCAAATGAGTCAAAGGCACAGCGGTCTTGGAGAAATCCTGGATGAATCTCCAATCATACCCTGCTAGACCCAAGAAGCTACGAATCTCGGATGCATTCTTCGGTACTTCCCACCGCGTCACTGCCTCAACCTTGGCTGGATCCACCGAAATACCCTCCTGGTTAATGATGTGCCCCAAAAATTATACCTCTCACAGCCAAAAATCACACTTGGAGAACTTGGCATAAAGCCTTTCTGTAACACCCCCGTTTATTTATTTAATAAGTAAATAACTTAATAAATGTATAGAAGCCCTAAAATGAATAATATTGAGCAAGGTGTTGGTTTAGAGGAGTTAAAAGTCACAATTATAGAAGTTGGGGGTTAAAATGTAATTCACGGATTAGTTTGTAAAGAATTTTGGAGGTTGAGGGTGATTTGGTAAATTCTGGATTTAATTTGAATTAAAATCTTGAAGTAAGGGGCTGAATGGTAACTGTGGGACTAAATATGAATGGAATTATGTGAGCAGGGGTGGGAAGATTAAATTACGGCCTTGGTTTGAAAGAAAAAAGAGAAAGGAGGGGCTGATCTTGGCATTATGGCGAAAAGTTTTAGGGGGTTCGGGTATATACTTGTTCACCCCGTAACCCTAACCCTAAACACCCTCTCAGCCGCCACCCTTGTGTCTCCATCT